TCCAGCCCCGGGGTCCCTGTGGCACCCTTCCCCTGCCAGGACTGCTCTGACGCCCACCCTGCATCTCCGCATCTGCGCATCTCTGCAAGCTGGCTCCCTCTCCATCTCCAGGTCTCAGGTCAGGCATGACCTCTTCTGGAAGGGCATGGCCTTCCACTGACGCAGGGTCCTGTGCTTCTGCCAACGCCCCCAGATGATGACCTTCGAAGCACATACCAATGTGCTTACTGTCTCCCTCACCCCAGCAGCCTCTGAGAGCCCCATCTCTTGGCTCAGCATTCAGCACGGGACCTGGCACACAGAGTACGTTCTGAATGAATGAACTGCCCCCCAACAAGTCCTCCCCTCAGCTGATGAGTGATGGCGGCCTGTTAAGATGATGGTGGAGCTGATGTCTCACTGGCTCGGAGACTCCTCGGGCTGTGACCGCTGGAAGCTGAGAGCTGTCGGAGCCACAACACTGTGAGCTGTCTTCCCCTCCAGCGCCACCCCAAGCACCCACAGCCCTGCCGGATTCAATCTGGGCCCTTCTTGCCGCCATCCCGCTCACAAATGTCGCCCTGCACAGGCCCCACTGCCCGCACAGCCTCCTGTGCACAGAGCTCGCGGCCACGGCGGACCCACGCTGGAGGGCTGCCTGCGCTCGCACCCGCAGTGGGCGGTGACTTCGTCCTGCCACTGACAGCTAAGTGTGGCAAGAGTGCCACCCACAACTGCAGAGGGCAACCGCCCCTCGGGAGCCAAGTGAGTCACTGGCCCAAGAAAGAACCGGCCCCAGAGAGTCACAGACTGAACCGGCATGACCCCCACCACCCACCCTGTGATTCTTGCGACGCCACCACCCTCTCTCACCTGGATGTTCACCACAGCCTCCGAACCGGGCTCCCTGCTTCCGCCCTTCCCTCCCAGCCCCTAACCGACCACCCACCCGGAGGGCAAAGGGATCCCGCCACACCTCTGCCAAGACCCTCCAAAGCGTTCCCCCATCAGAGTAAGAGACAGAAAGCCCACGTCTTTCCACTGTGACCACGAGGACCGCCCCCACCAGCTTCCAGACCTTGTGCCCCAGGACTCTCTCCTCCTCCCTCAGCTCCAGTCACCCGGCACCCTGCTCTTCTCAAGCACACCGCTGTTGCTCCCGACCACAGCCTTCCACTGGCCCTCTGCCCAGACCGCTGTCCGCCCAGACCACTGTCCTCCCAGCCACCCAGGGGGCCTGTTCGCTCACGTCCTGTGAGTCTTGCTCCAATGTTACCTCCTCTGCGAGACCTTCTCTGGCCACCTGATCACCAGGAAATCCTCCCCACTCCACATGTCTCCCAATTCCAAATCTCTGCTTAAGGTTTCAATAACAGGGTAACAGTTCCCACCTTCTCAGGGGTAACTCTCTTCTTCACTCAGTCATGGTCTATATTCTCTGCCCCTCCAGCTCCGCTGTAAGCTCTGAGACAGCACTGGTTCTGATCTGTTTTGTTCACTGGTGTATCTCTAGCCCCTGGAACTGTTATTCGCACCAAGTGTTGGTTAAACAAATATCTAGTGAATGAATAAATTTTCAAACTCTCAAAGCTGCTCCAAGAGGCCTTCTCTCGTGCTCATCAAAGAGAATCGGACCAGACCAAACAAATACGTGCCTGGAGATCCCAGCCACTTAAGGTCTCATCCAGCTTCATCAGGTTACACTGGCAGAAACTGATGTCCCCAGGGGTGACATGACCTGGTGAAAGTCACACAGAGATTAACAGAAAAAAAAAAAAAAAGGCTGAAACCCAGACCACAGAGCCAAGTCAGAGGTGCTTCCACCATATCACACATCCTGCTTCATTCAGAAATTTCTAAGAAAGTCCCAGCCAAATAGACAACCTAAGGACCAACATGAATAGAGGACGGGGGGGGGGGGGGGCCTACTGGCAAGACCACCTCTCATGCAGTGTGAGACCCTGGCCAAATCACTTACTGCCTCCGGGTTAATCTGGAAGGCAGTCTGAATCAATCACCATTTATCAGCACTAACAATGCAAAGGGGAGGAAGACACGCTACCGAAAGCAGAGCTCACGGTCTGGAGAAGAAAACAAGCACATACCAACAATGCTGAGTTTGATGCACAAAAGGGTACTTTAGTCCAGACTTCAGGAAAACACACAAGGCTTTATAAGGAGGTGCACTGGAGGTGAACTTTGAAAATAAAAAATAAAATAAGCCAGGCAAAGGGGAGGAGAGGGAGGCAAACAACATTCTGGTCGGCTCTGAGAGCACGAAATTGACAGAGGTATCACACAGCATGGACACCAAGGAGCCCGCAAGTCCGTCAGTACCACTGAGGGCAATGTTCAAAGGAAGGAGGGGTGGGAGACGTGGCTCAAGAATTGGGCAGGGGTCAGGTTATAAAGGGCCTTCCTATGCTTCTCCACATGGCATTTCAGGGGAAACACGCAAGGGCCTTAACCCGAGCCTACCTGAGGGAGTGTCAGCTGGAGGACAGCGCGTTGTTTTGTAACTCTGAAACACTAGGGAGACGCAACACTCGCTGGGCACCAAGAATGGGGCCTGGCAAACAGTAAAAGCTCAGTGACTATCTGCCGTTATTGTCACAAGGACCTGTGATGAGTGAATGATCACTAAGGAACTACTAAGGGCTACGCTGTATAAAAGACCCCTTAACAGTTCTGTCTTCTGGGGTGAGTCTGTTCTTCCTCCTTTGCGTTTCCTTGGGCTGATGTCCACACTCGAAGAGTGAGACAATCCTGGGCAGCACTGAAAGGGCAGAGCTGCAGGAAACCGGCCAGGAACTCTGCCAGCTCTGTGCCTGCGCAGGTAAGGACTAAGCGTGTGACAAGTGATCAGCACAGGAAGGTGAGCTACTGATGGGCAAAAGGGCATAGCTTCGCGACCCCTCCTGTTGCCTGAACAGAAGCACCGTCAGAGCCAGGCCTGGAGGCGCGGGGCACAGGTCGCTGGGCAGGCCTCTCCAGTGGGCCCACCCTCTCCTCTGTGCCCTGCCCTCTGCAGTGGCAGCCTCCGGCAGCTCTGCCAGACTCCACTCCAACTCTGGAAATCCGACAAGGGAGCTGCTCTCAAAAACGCCTAAGACACGCACAGCACCAAAATCAGAGGGAAACGGAAGTCTGTCGTTGGTGACACAGAACCTCACAGAAAAAAGCTGGAGACCACATTAGCTTCCCGTGGCCATCCTAACACGACAGAAATTGATCCTCTCACAGTTCGGGAGGCTTGGGGTCCAAAATGAAGGTGCTGGCAGGGCCATACTCTCTCTGAAGTCTTGAGGGAAGGACCCTTCCTTGCCTCTTCTAGCTTCCATGGGTTGCCTGCAATCTTTGGCATTCCTGGGCCTGTGAGCACATGGCTCCAACCTCTGCCTCTGTCTTCACATGTCTTCCCCATGTCTATCTCTCTGTGTCCAAATTTCCCTCTTCTTTTAAAGATACCAGTCGCTGGACTAGCGCTCACCCTAACCCAGTATGACCTCATTTTAACTGAATTATATCTGCAAAGATGCTATGTCCCAATAAGGTCACACTCACAGGTTTCCAGATAGACATGAATGGGGGGGGGGGGGGCGCCACTGAATCCAATACAAAGACAAATTACCAAGAGATACAGTCCTCAATCCAAATGTTTATTCACCATCGTAACTTCATATACTGCAGCTCGACTATTCTTAGAGCTCAGTTGGTTAGAATCAGAGTTTATTTAGACTGAGGAAGAACCAAAATCTCAAGACCTAAAGGCAACACACGAAAGTTCTACTGCCATGTGGCTCATCTGCCCCGGAGTCTAGGTTCTGGAGCCTCCGTCTCTTTCACTGTTGGGACCTCCTACTCTCTGCCATTCCAGAATTTTCACATCACCTTGGACGCTGACACTGGTTTTGAAGAAAGCTCTTTTCTTCCTCAATCACACACAACCCTGTGGCGTGAAGCAGGATCTCTGGCCGCCCCTGGGGATCCCCTCCAAAGTCAGTGTGTCTGAGCCGGCAGTAACTCACTCCTACTAATTCCCCAAACCACCCTGACAACTGCATGTTTCTGACCCAACACAGGGAACCCCGAGGTTTACAATTCTACCGCTCCACCCATAGTGTTTCTTATACGACACTTACGAATAAGCTGTGTTTATAAATGATTCTACATGGACTTATTTTAATACCCCAACTCCTAATTTTCAGGATTCAGACATTAGTTTACAAACAGAATAAACCGTGTTTAGACATCTTGACCTGTTTCTCTCTAATCGATGTTCGCCAGCAACTGTTTCTCCTAGGCACTGTCCATGTGTGTCTTCACGTTCCCCGGGGCCCTGGCCAGGGATCAGCGACGCGCTGATCAGGACTCTGGAGCTGAACAGCTTCCAGGTGCACCCAGGTCACTGCCCGCACTTCATTTTTTGTTTAATTTTTTTTCCTTAATTTGCTTCCTGCTGCTGACTCAAGAAAGGAGTTGGTTTTGAGGCCAGAAAGTGGGATACAGGGAAATTCACAGGGAGTCTCGAATCCACTTGAGCAAATGCTCGAGCTCGAGGCCAAAAGCAGCCGTCCACAGGGGAGACAAGAAGGCCGTGCCAGGGGGCCACACCGCCACGCCCCCGCGTAGAAAGCCACCGCCCAGCAAGCACAGCCTGCCCCTCCAGGGGGCCAGTTTCCGCACTCCTCCGAACTCCTCGCGGCGCCACCCAAGTCGGTCCCCTTCGGCTTCCCCAGGGAGCCCAGAAGTTTCGCAGAGGAGAGCCCGCCAGGCTCGGGAAAACTCGCGGGCCGCTCCTCCTCGTCCCTTCAAGCCTCGATCTCCGTGCAGCCCCTGTCACCTCCCAGACCCTGCGCTCGAGCCCCCCGTTCCCCCAACGCCCCTCGCGTCCCCAGCGGCCCTCCCGCAGCCCAGGTCACCCCTCCCCAGACCCCCGACTCCCCCCGCAGCGCAGCGGGCCTACGTGCCCACCTGACCCCTGACCCCTGACCCCGACCCGGCCCCTCCGTCACACCCACCTGCCCGGGACTTTGCTGCTGCTGCGCTTCCAAAACTGCTTCCTGGCCCCGTCGCTGGCCATGGCCCCTCCTCATCCCTCAGACCCGCGGCCCCGGCACCTCGAGTGCGGCCGGCCAGGCCCGGCGGCCTTTCCCTGTACCCCGGTGGCTCCTCAGCGGTCCCGGGACTCCCCGAGCCTAGAGCCGAGAGGCTCTTCCGCCTCCCCCCGGAAGTTGTGCCTCCGCGCGTCCGGAAGTCCCGCCTCTGCCCCTGGCGCGCCTGACGCAAGGCGCGGCTGTGGACGTCACTAAAGGGCGACGCCGGGAAGGAAGTGTGGTGTGGCGGCGGCCTGGGCGGCCAGAGTCCTCGTGACGGCGCCTGGTTGGGGCGCACGCCCGGCTCCATGCTTTGCTGCTGGGCGAGGCGACGGGAGGGCCCGGGGCGCGAGGAGGCCGCGGAGGGGTCGGCAGAGCGGGGGTGGCGCCTGGGTGCTCGCGGAAGCCGGCGCAGCAAGCCGCCGGCAGGGATTTCAAAGAGTCGGCTTGAAACAGCGGCGACAGAGTAAGTCTAATCGGTGGGGCGCCTGGGCGGCTCGGCCGGCCGGCCGTCTGCCCTGGACTCAGGCCAGGATCCCGGGCTCCTGGGGCCGCACCCCGCGGCGGGCCCCCTGCGCGGCGGGGAGACTCTGCTGCTCGCTCCCCCTGCCTCTTCCCCGGCTAGTGCTCTTGCGCTCGTGCGTGCTCTCTCGAGAGCTCACTCAAATAAATCTTTAAAAAGAATAAGTCTGCATTGGTTACGGGATAAAATAATACTTGGGGTGTATTAGACTCAATAAAATACCCTATGTTTAGGTGTTTTGTTGTTTGTTGTTTTAATTTGACGTAGCCAACGGAAGATGTGAAGTGACATGCACGGCTTGCGCCAGATTTCTCTTTTGTCCCAGACCTGGACCGAGAAGTCAGGTCCTGGCGTTCAAGCCTGCAGTACAGTTTAACTTTCGGGAGTCCGTTGACACCGCTGCCAGTTCTCTTGTGAAACAGAAATCGGGCTGTATGTTTAAGTTTGCCCATGCCTCCTCGCTTACGGTTAGGTAGCATTGATGCAGTTCTTGCCACGTCCAAGGTACTGCACCAGGTGCTCTCTATGCAGTGTGTCGGCCGTGTGCCCACCATCCCCAAAGGCTGGCCCTCCTGGAAGAGCAGAATGGCTCGCTCACCTCTCGGACACTGAGTTTTATACCCTTTCCACAGGTCCTTGTATCCACCCTGCAACGCTTACCTGACTGTTTTGATTGTATCTGTGCCCACAGGTAGCTTGTGAGATACTGCTCTGCGGGGCCTATGTCTTCTGCCTCTGTAAATGTTTGTTGGATGAGTGACAACCATGGGCACTCTCCAGGGATCCCCTTTTGTCACCACAGAAACTCCAGGAATCTTCTCTCTGGGGTGACCTTAATGGGTCCTTGGTGATCCCCAGCTGACATATCCTCAGTCGATCCTCAGGGCTCCTTTGCTGCACAGCCTGATGACCTCGTCCGGGATCCTTTCCTTACGTGGCCTCAGGGTGTCTCCAGAGATCTCTCAAAGTTTCAGTGGATCCTCAGGGACTCCTTCCTCACACAGCCTCAGGCAGTCTCCTGAGCTTCTCTCCTAGTGCAGCTCAGGAAGGCCCCAGGGACCTCTTCCCAATATACAGCCCCGAGGCCTCAGAAATCCTCCTCAGAGACTGGCTCCTAACAGCCTCCGGGGTCCCCTGTGGACATCACTGGGGACCTCAGGGGTTCTCTGCAGCTCTTCTGGCTCATTGCAAGAATCAGTGAGGTGACAGCAGGACTGAGGATGGTGGAAGTAGAATTCACAGAGAAATAACGGACAGTAGTTAGTGACTGGCTGGATGCAATTACAGCATCTTAGACGGGTTGTCCCTATAGCTTGAGGATGCCTTCCTGCCTCGAGTCTCCTGGGGAAAGGAGCAAGACTGACACCAAGATTGATGAAGGCTTCAGGACCCACTGAGCAAAGGGTCAGCAGTGCCAGTCACAGAAACAGGAGAGCAAGGGGTCAGCCTGTTCGCAGCCTGCGTTTATGGTTGGTTTAGGATGACCTGGGGCGAGGTCACGGATGGAAGGCCTCAGCCAAGCACGAGGTGAGAGGACAGATTGGTCTCCAGGCGAGGGGATGGGAGGATCTGCCGGGGCAAGGTCGCTGGAATAGGCCAGCACCATGGGCGACATAATCAAAACACAAACCCAAGAAGAAGCAATCCCCAGAAATGGACTTTGGCCGGGGGGCTTGGTAAGGGTAGGATGTAAAAGGAGCGTTTGGTAGAAGGCCAGGTGTATAAACTGAGGTGTAACATATGTAGAGTCTGGGAATGGGATCTCTGCAGGCATCAAACAGGACAGATGCATGAACCAGAATGAATGAGTGGAGCGCTTTGTGTTCATTTGAGCAACAAATAATTTTTATTTATTTTTTTAAAAGATTTTATTTATTTGAGAGAGAGAATGAGAGAGAGAGAGCACGTGAGAGGGGGGAAGGTCAGAGGGAGAAGCAGACTCCCTGCCGAGCAGGGAGCCCGATGCAGGACTCGATCCCAGGACTCCAGGATCATGACCTGAGCCGAAGGCAGTCGCTTAACCAACTGAGCCACCCAGGCGCCCCTATTTAATTTTTTAAATTTATTTATTTGAGGGGGGAGAGAGGGAGAAGCACACTCCCCGCTGAGCTGGTAGCCTGACGCAGGGCCCAATCCCAGTACCCCAGGATCATGACCTGAGCCAAAGGCAAATGCTTAACTGAGCTGCCCAGGTGCCCCAACAAACAAGAAGCCTACTTTCACTAAGATTTAAGCTAATGGAAATTAAATCCAAGGACATGCCATTTCACACATAACAGATGGGCTAAAACTTAAAAATCTGTCAATGCCAAAATTGACAAGGATGTGGATTTGTGAGCGGTGCAGAATGAACTGATTCACTGCTGGTGGGAGTATAAATTGGTTTAGTGATTCTCAACAGCCATCTAGCAATTTCTAGTAGTTAGGGATGCATATACTCTACAACCCAGGAATTGCACCCTTGTTGTGTACCCTAGAGCAGCTTGCCCAAGTGTGCAAAGACAAGAACATTCACTGCAACATGCTGCTACTGCTGGCAAGGGGGAAGGTCATAAAGTCATCTCTAGGAGAATTGATAAATGATACACAGCTATCCAATAGGATGCTATATGGTAACAAAATGAATAAATTAGTCACATATATCAACACAAATGAATTTCACAAGGTTAAATGAAAAAAAGTTGAATGTGGATGCATGTGCTATTTAATTCCATTCTTTTAGAGTAAAAAAAAAAAATGCTAAACACTAAATTCAGGAGAGTGGTTGCCTCTGGGTATTGGTGGGGACTTTGATCAGTAAGTAAGGAAGTCAAGGGGCTTCAGTTTTATGATTATGCTTTATTTCTGATGGCAGAGGGAGTGTATGCTGCCATTGTTATATTATTTATGACTTCTCCCATGTATAAAATGTTTGATTACGGACCTCTTACCGCTGTGTCTGTGAGCACACTCTTGGAAAAGGATGAGACAATGAATGAGCAGCGTTCACTGAGAGGCGTGGAGGGGTCAGGACAATTGAGAAGACCTGTGACTGCAGTTTAAGGCGAGCGGGCAAGATGGGACAAGATGCAAGGAGTGGCTCCAGGGAGAGGGAGCATCACAGCTGCAGCAGGAAGACAAAAGATTGGAGCGCTGGGTAACAGGTGAGTCTCGGGCATGGCTGCAAGCGATGTAGGTCAGGTTCCCCGAGAGACAGATCCTTGCGTGCAGGCAGCTTCTTGGGGAGGCGAGGTTGAACGGTGAGGGGCCACCTGGAGAGATGTCCTGAATTGAGACCAGAGGGTGGAGCCTTTGCACCATGCACAAACCAGCCATTGCATGGCTGCCCCCTGGGAGGGGGGCCCTGCAGCTGCAGGCAGCTCCTCGGAGGGACTTGTCTGAGCCATCTGCAGCCAGCACTCCCGGCCACGGAGGAAATGAGAGCCTTAGTCCCAAGGAGCGGATCTTGGCAGCACATCATAGTGCTGACTGCAGTCCACCTTGGCACCACTCGGATGCAGGAGCGTCACAGGGGTCACCATTGGAAGAACATCTCTAGGATTCTGCCTGCTTCCTTTTGTGGAAATTTACAAGAGGAAGGTTGACCCAGTCTCGGAGCCACAGCGGTCAGTCATCCCATCCCCCGCCCCCCCCCACTTCCTTTTCCTCTGCTCTTGCCCACTGTAGACTCCCTCTTCTGTTCTGGATGAGCTACCTGGTGGGGTGACCCAGACTCTCATCCTAGAGGCTTCAGACCCTCGATCATCACACCGTTCTCAGACCATGGCTGCGGTACTTGTCCACATGCCATCAAAATTGGGCAGAGAAGCAGGTTCGTGTAGGTGTCAGACGTGTTCTCCCCTGGCCCCACTGGGCAGTAGCATCCCTACCTCCTCTGGTGGCCACAGAGAGACCCTATCCTTCGCCTGGCTAGTCTGCTGGCGCAAGAAGCCATGACTCGACATTGAACCAGACTCTTACCACACCCTTTCTGGCAGCATTCCCCCTCTGGGGCTCGGGACTTCTAGAAAAGGCCAGAATTGTGGGAACAGGAAACCTCTGAGAGTGATGTGAGCGGATCCAGTCCTGCCTTCAGCCCCTGCTTCCCACACCCAGGTCTTTACTTAGAGGGGACACAGCGTCAAGTAGGGCGCCCCGACTCAGGGGCTATAAACTCTGAGCTGAAAGGCAGCTTAATTGCTCTGTTGGGCCAGCAGCTTCTGGGCAGTGTGGTATATGTTGGAGGACTGGTGGGTCCCCCAGCCACGGGCTCACCGCCACCACCTCCTTCGCTGTAAGTGGGTCCCCTGGACCAACACAAGTTTGTGCAGAGCCTCTGGTTGCCGGATCAGACTCCCTGAAGCCCACACACAGGGTACAGGTCCGTGAATCACTGGGTCTTATCGCCTCTGCTCACATCCCCTGTGACTACCCTACGCACAGGGGATGCCAAAGAGTGTAGTCTGCCTGGGCATCCATTCCCAGTGAAACGGCTGAGTTCTCTTACTGAAGAACGGTGGGGTGGATATTGGTGGACAATAGCAGCACCTCCCACACTCACAAAGTGTGCAATCAGCTCCCAGCACCTAAACCAAAGAGGAAAGACGGGCAGCGTGGGGTAT